CTCAAGAGGTCGAGGCTGCAGTGAGCTGTGATTTTATACAGGCTTTCAGGATAATTTCCAACTTTTATGAAACAGTAGAAACCTGATACAAAACAGACAAGCATGATAAAAGTAATTGGCCGGGCACGGTGGCTCACACCTGTAATCCCTACACTTTGGGAGGCCGAGGCAGGCAGATTATGAGGTCAGGAGTTCCAGACCAGCCTGACCAACATGGTGAAACGCTGTCTCTACTAAAAATACAAAAATTATCTAGGCATGGTGGCGCACATCTGCAATCCCAGCTACTTAGGAGGCTGAGGCAGGAGAATTATTTGAACCCGGGAGGTGGAAGTTGCAGTAAGCCAAGATCGTGCCACTGTACTCCAGCCTGGGCGACAGAACAAGACTCCATCTCAAAAAAAAAAAAAAGAAAGAAAAAGAAAAAAAAGAAAGGAATCACAGGACAAACCAGCCATCAACATAGACACAGAAATACTTTTTTTAAAGTAACATACTGAATGTAGCAAAAATGAGAAGGCGAATAAACCATATCCAAGTGTGGTTTATTTCAGTAATAGATGTCATTTTACCGTATGAAAATCAAATAATATATAATTCATCTTATTAAGAGATTTAAGGATTTTTTTTTCCAGACCTCTTAGGGATGACAAGGATTTCTCAAAGATCCTGATACATGCAGAGAAGGCACTAGATAAAATCTAACATCCACTCATGATTTTTACAAAACAATCTTGACAATCCAAGAATAAAACAGAATTCCCTTAATTTGATAAAGGTTATTTATAAAAAAAACTTCTAGTTAGTATCATACTTAATGGTGAAATATTAAACATGTTTCCCTAAGTTCAGAAACAAGGCAAAGATACTCATTTTCATCATTTCTATTCATTACTCTAAAGAAATAAAGCAAGAAAAATAAACAAAAAATAAAGTTTAGAAATTAGGTAAGACTTTCTTTTATTGATTATCTATATAAAAAATCCAAAGTAATCCACAAAGTATTTGAATAAATAATTGAATTTATAAATGTCACCAGCTATAAAGTCAATATACAAAAAGATACTGCAATTCTATGTACTAGCCAAAAATACTGAAAAACAAATTCAAAATATTTACAAAATAAAATATTCCGCATACTTAGAAATAAATTAAACAAATCAAGACTTCTACAATTAAAACTTTAAAACACTGCTGAGAAAAGTTAAAGACAACCCTAGGTAAATGGACAATTATACTACATTCATTAATTGGAAAATTCAATATTGTAAAGATGTCAATTATCCTTAGGTTGTTTTATAAAGTCAATGCAATCACAAGCACAGTACCAAAAAATTGATTTTTGAAAATTAATCCTGAGATCGCAAAATTAACTTAGAAAACATGGGAACACAGCAGGCAAGACAATCTTAAAGAATAAAAAAGCTGGAAGGCTCTCACTACCAGATTTCCAAAAATATTACAAAGCAACATAAATTAAGAAAGTACGGTAATGGTGCAAGGAAAGACAAATGAACCAAGGGGCAGAGATTGCCTAAGCAGAGGGGAAAAGTATGGTCTCTTTGATAAATCTATATATACACAACTTGATCCTACCTCACGCACTACAAGAAAATTATTCAAAGTAGATCACAGATTTAAATAAAAACAATAAAGAATATAGAAGAAAACATAGGAGAATAGATTCATTATCTTGGTCCAGGCAAATAATTCTTAAACAAGTGTCAGATCTCAAGTTGATCTTTATGCTCATTAAAGACTGAGCAGCAATCTCTAGTGATCTAAAGACATGTTAACAGATCACATTTGACTTTTCTAAAATGCTATCTAGGAACCCCTAGCAGAGTTCCCAGACTTCACAGATCCCACTTGCTGCTAAGAGAAGCATGATAGCTAACAATATTACCACTATTTTTAGATCCTACCTGCCCACTGCTGCCTTCTCCCCTCTCCATATGTGTCAGAACTCCCAGAACTCTGATTCAGTCAGTGTAGACTCTAACCCAGTATCTGGATAAGCATGGGTGCTAACCCTAAACAAATGAGAGTATTACATTCCCCAGGCCAGTGGCTAGAGTACAGCCAGCAAGTGAGCCAGTCAGAGCCAACCAGATTCAATTCTGATCATCATATTGGAACTGTTCAAAAAAACAATCACTCTTTTCTCCCTGAGACTTTAAGCTGGGAAAAAAGCAGCCAGAGTTTCTAGGGCCTGCTATGAAGAGACAACCTGCTTGGAACAAAAGCTAATGCGAAAGGATACACAGCCAAGACAAGGAGACAGAATTCAACTAGATAACATTTTTTTTAGTCCCAGGATTTAGCCATGCCTGAAGCTTGTTATACAAAAGGACTTTTTAGTAATAAATTATTTAAACCAACACATTCCCTTTAAAGAGTGAAAAGACAAGATGGAGATTGGGAAACGTTATCTGTAATATATGTATATATAATATACATATTTTATGTATATATGTAATATATAATACATGGTTTATACACATGTATGCATGTGTACCTAGATATAGACACACATATATACAATAAAGGGCACGTAACCAGAAGAAAACCCTTCAACTTTTCTTTTAAAAAAGGAACCATAAATCAGTGAAATGTTTCAACAGGTACCCTCACACAAAAAAATTAAAATAGCCAATAAGCACACTGAAAAGTATGCAAAATCATTACACATCAGGTAAATGAATGCTCTGCTGAATGACTAAAATCAGCAAGTGCTGGCCAGGTGTGTGAAACAATGACAACTTTCATACATTGTTCTGGGGATTCTTGGTGGAACCAATATTTTTTTGAAAACTGGAATACTTACCAAAACCAAACTGAAAGTCTAAATTCATTCCTGCACATATAGCACATACCAAGATAAATAAGCCCATACATCTATCAAAAGAGCAATTAAAAGTCAACTACACATTTTGTTGAGCAAAAGAAGCCAAAACACATAACTGTATATATTACATTTTCACATTTAGATGAAAATCAAAAACACACCAAGTCAATTATAGTAAGAGTCAAAATTGTGGTTGCCCTGTGGAGTAATTAATCACTGAGAAAGAGGATGAAGGAATTTCCAAATGTTCTCTGTTTACTAGGACGTATATATACATGAAATTTCATCAAGCTGTACATTAAAGATTAGCATACTTCATGCATGTTAGTGTATGTATAACATAATAAAATAAAAAGTGATTAAGGGCAAGTAGTAGAATAATACTTTTAAAGGGAAACTATAGTAGTAGTAGAGTTATATTTTTAAAGGGAAAATATAATATTATAGCTAAAAGTGCCTGAAGCAATTCATGTTCTTACATTAAGGAAAAAAAGCAGTAAAATCTTTTCTGTTTGAAGGTGTCAAGTATAAATCTTCCTCCACTAAAACGGGATGACACCTTGTGGATGCTTACCTCAATTACCAAGGGTAACTTCTCTCACTCTCCACGGCTCTTACTTTTGAGACTTACAAAAATATCTTTCCCCATGAATAGAGTGACAAGATGCGATTGGACTGTGTAAGACAGACTGCAACATAAGAAAAATGGCAATCCCAGAGCTTGCCAGAAAATCCAAGAAGCTGTATATGGTGATAGCTGTAGAGCTGCTGCCTCAGAGGACACTGAAGTCAAGCAAGCATTTAATGTTCAGTGTTTGGTTTTGTTTTTGAGAAAGGGTCTCACTCTGCCACTCAGGCTGGAGTGCAGTGGCATGATCATAGTTAACTGCTGCTTCAAACTCCTGGGCTCAAGTGATTCTCCTGCCTCAGCCTCCTGAGTAGCTGGGACTGCAAGCATACACCATCACACCCAGCTATAAAATTCAGTTTTGAGCAAATATGGATCAATGAGTCTGACAATCAGAAAAATGAGCTGAAAACTAGGTCACCAGGTCTTTATACATCTGTCTCCCTGTCTGATGGCCCCAATAAACATAGCCTAATGGCTTTTTCTTCTCTTATGCCTTCCACATCTCATACAAACTCTTTAGACAAGTCTAACACAACTGGAGAAAAAAAAGTGACTCTGGGAAATGTAGTTAATGTAACACAATTTTTATACTCAAAACACTGGATCCAATTCCCAGCCATGAGCAAGGACAAAGAACAAAATATAAAAATAGTATATTAAATTAATTTCTGCTGAATTACTCACTAGACAGGAAAGGCATTTTTTTGTTTTGTTTTTTGAGACGGAGTTTCGCTCCTGTTACCCAGGCTGGAGTACAATGGAGCGATCTCAGCTCATCAGAACTTCCACCTCCTGGGTTCAGGCAATTCTCCTGCCTCAGCCTCCTGAGTAGCTGGGATTACAGGCATGTGCCACCATGCTCAGCTAATTTTTTTTTTATTTTTAGTAGAGATGGCGTTTCACCATGTTGACCAGGATGGTCTCAATCTCTTGACCTTGTGATCCACCCGCCTCGGTCTCCCAAAGTGCTGGGATTATAGGCGTGAGCCACCGTGTCCAGCCCCTTAGAAAGGCATTTAATAGTAAAAACTGTTCATCTCAAAACCTTAAGGCTCTTAGCAAAAAAGAACAAGAAAAATACTGAGTGGGAAATTTCCATTGTCTGCCATGTACCATAAAAGCAAAATACCAACAAAAACCAAAGTGTCAATATTATAATGACTACCCACTTAAAGAACAATGAACATTAATTATAAATCACTTTTTTAAAAAAAGACCACTGGTGTCTATAAAGAAAAAATATTTCATATCCTCCATGGATCCAAAAGACTTTATAACGAAAATTATATTTATATCAGAACCAAAATTAAAGCACCTCATAATAAAAAGTATGTGGCTAGAGCTGAAAAGGTAAATTTATCACCTTAAATGTTCCTATCAGAAAACACTGGTAATCAACGAGCCAGTAGTTCATTTTAAGGATGAGGCACTGATCTTCATTTCTAATATGAATTTCCTCATGCATAATAAGCAATGTTCATAAAAGCTTTAGCACATGATTTACATACACAGGGTTTCTCTAAGGTGTCCTCAAAATGATAAGCAACAATTTCCTACTTTCTAACATTCATAGGGTGTCTCCACAGTATAAGACCTCACAAGTTGCCTAGGATCTGAAGCTCTGCAGACATTCCCATATTCCTTACATTAGAATGTTTTCTCTAGTGTGAGTTTTCACATGTCTTCGAAAGTAGGCAGGACAAACAAAGGCTTTCCCACATTCCTTACATTCATAGGGTTTCTCTCCAGTGTGGCTTCTCACGTGTCTTCGAAAGGATGAGGGACAACTGAAGGCTTTCCCACATTCCAGACATTCAAAGGGTTTCTCTCCAGTGTGCATTCTTGCGTGTACAGTAAGGTATGAAGAATGACGAAATGCTTTCCCACATTCCTTACATTCATAGGGCTTTTCCCCAGTGTGCGTTCTCATGTGGATCCTAAGGGCTGAGGGATAAATAAAGGCTTTCCCACATTTCTTACATTCATAAGGTTTCTCTCCAGTGTGAGTTCTGATATGTACTGTAAGGTGGGAGGAACTAATGAAGGCTTTCCCACATTCCTTACATTCATACGGCTTCTCTCCACTGTGAGTTCTTAAGTGTTCGGTGAGGGACGAGGAACGACTAAAGGTCTTCCCACACTCCTTACATTCATACTGTATCTTTCCAGTGTGATCTCTCACATGTGCCCTAAAGGATGAGGGACAACTAAAGGCCTTCCCACATTCCTTACATTCGTAGGGCTTCTCTCGACTTTGATTTTTCACATGTGTATTAAGGGAAGTGGGAAGATAGAAGGCCTTTCCACATTCCAGACATTCATAGGGTTTTTCTCCAGTGTGTTTTCTCATATGGATACTCAAGGAGGAGGGACAATTGTAGGCTTTCCCACATTCCTTACACTTGTAGGGTTTCTCTCCAGTATGTGTCCTCACGTGTACAGTGAGTTTTGAGGACTCGCTGAAGGCCTTCCCACACTCTTTACATTCATACGGCTTCTCTCCAGTGTGAATTCTTATATGTATTATAAGGTGAGAGGAAGAACTGAAGGCCTTCCCACATTCCTTACATTCATATGGCTTATCTCCGCTATGAATCCTTTTGTGTTTGGAGAGTGAGGAGGAACAACTGAAGGCCTTCCCACATTCCTTACATTCATAAGGCTTATCTCCACTATGAATCCTTTTGTGTTCTGTAAGCGATGAGGAACAACTGAAAGCTTTTCCACATTCCTTACATTCATAGTTCGTTTTTCCCATGTGAAGCTTCATATGTGTCCTAAAGAATGAGGAACAACTGAAGGCTTTGGTACATTCCTTACATTCATAGGGCTTCTCTTCAGTGGGGGTTTTCATATGCTTCTTAAAACAAGCAAGAAATTGGAAGGCCTTCCCACATTCCTTGCACTCATAGGGTTTGCTTCCAGTATGAGACCTGATGTGATTCTTAAGGGACGAATGATCCATGAAGACCTTTCCACACTCGTGGCATTCACAGGATTTTACTTCAGTCGTTCTCTTGACTGAATCAAGATTTGGAACTTGGCTGAAGGTCTGTCCATGTTGATTTTCTTCACTACATTCATAGATGTTCTCTACCATAGGATTTCTTTTAAAAATAAAAGACACATTATTAGTAATACATTTTTACCTATTTCAGTGAATGTGTATGTTTCCTAGCCTTCTGTCAAGTTAGAAATGGAAAGTTCTCACAGAGGGCTCTACCACAGCCAATACTGTCACCATGTTTTTGACTCACAGATTTTTCTGATAATTGTTTACAAGTGAAGTATGTGTCAAACATTCAGAATCTCAGTGTCATTTGAGGAAAATATTAACTCATGAACATTCTCAGCTGGGTGCAGTGGCTCACACCTGTAATCCCAGCCTTTTGGAGGCCGAGATGGGTGGATCGCAAGGTCAGCAGTTCAAGATCAGCCTGGCCAAGATGATGAACCCCCATCTCTACTAAGAATACAAAAATTAGCTGAGCGTGGTGGTGCGTGCCTGTACTCCCAGCTACTCAGGAGGCTGAGGCAGAAGAATTGCTTGAACCCGGGCAGCAGAGGTTGCAGCAAGCTGAGATCATGCCACTGCACTCCAGCCTGGGTGACAGAGCAAGACTCCATCTCAAAAAAAAAGAAAAAAATTCTCAAATCATAATCTTTGATCCAGGCTTATTTATATGTATATATTTCTTAAATTTCATAATATTAGAAGATTCTCTCCTGAGGCACTACTTTCTCATGCATGGCACTCACCTCAAATGCCTCTCTTGGCTTTTGTTCTGATAATCAATACCACAGGATTCCTGGTTTTCATGTGAACTGGAGAACCAGGAATCATTCCTTTTGAATCTTACTATTTTCTGTTCATTGGATATTTCCTCTCCACAAATATCTGGTGGGGCAACCGATTCATTAGTTTTAAGTTGAGTCTCAAAACCTGAAACAAAAAAAGTGAAAGCTTCTGAGAACAAAGAACTTTTAGCACAGTGGCTATTTCAGGACTTTGGTATTAATAGACGCAAGGGTCAAAATGGTAGCAATTAACTAAGAAATAATTACATGAAGATTGAGACTAACATAACTAGAATAGTATTAGGAGAACAAAACAAAAATTGGACAAAATGCACATGACCAGGCTGGGCGCGATGGGTCACGCCTGTAGTCCCAGCACTTTGGGAGGCCAAGGCAGGCGGATCATGAGAAAAGGAGATCGAGACCATCTTGGCCAACATGATGAGACCCTGTCTCTATTAAAATATAAAAAACTGGGCCGTGCGTGGTGGATCACGAGGTCAAGAGATCGAGACCATCCTGGTCAACATGGTGAAACCCCATCTCGACTAAAAATACAAAAAATTAGCTGGGCATGGTGGCATGTGCCTGTAATTCCAGCTACTCAGGAGGCTGAGGCAGGAGAATTGCCTGAACCCAGGAGGTGGAGGTTGCGGTGAGCCGAGATCGTGCCATTGCCCTCCAGCCTGGGTAACAAGAGCTGGGCATGGGGGGGCACACCTGTAGTCCCAGCTACTCAGGAGGCTAAGGCAGGGGAATCACTTGAACTCCAGAGGCAGAGATTGCAGTGAGCCAAGATTGTGCCACTGCACTCTAGCCTGGCGATAGAGCGCGATTCCAACTCAAAAAAAAAAAAAAAAAAAAAAGCATATGATCGAATACTAACTTAGAAGGTCTTTGCCAAGAACAAGGAAAATGTGAGAGACTAACAAAAAGTCAAAATAGTCATCTGAGATATCTGTGGAAGATGAGCTTCCTCACATAAAACGAAGTTTATTTTTGTTTTTGATTTTCTTTTAAGTTGATTTTCTTCCCCCAACCAAAAGAGTTTCTCTCAAGTGTTCTTGCCTTCCTGGTGCTCTCTCACACAGATGCCCTGGAGAAGTTCTCTGTTCACTGTCTGCAGGCCCTCCTCTTGTTCCCACTGGCAGATCAGATGGGGTGTGTGCAGCAGATACCCTGCACAAGCAGAAAGCCGTATCATGAGGGAAAATGATGAAGAATCACAAGCATTTCCGTAAGACAGAAACAAAACTTCAGTCTTCTGATATTCCAAAAATGGACAACAGTGAGTTTAACTGCAACAAAATGTCAAATTTATTTATTTATTTTTAAAGGAGAGGTGGCAGGAGGAAGCAGCCTCTGACATACAGAACTGAACTAATGTTCACACCTAAATCTCAATATCATTACAAGCTGGTTAGACAGTCACAACCAGGGCATTTTGTTCTGCTACTGAATATAAATAATCTTACAGAATACTAATCTTGGATAAAGTTACTATGAAATTATGATAAAATGAAACAAAACAAGGTTACCTTTTAATTTTTTCTTTCTTTTTTTTTTTTTTTGAGACGGAGTTTTGCTCTTGTTACCCAGGCTGGAGTGCAATGGCGCGATCTCGGCTCACCGCAACCTCCGCCTCCTGGGTTCAGGCAATTCTCCTGCCTCAGCCTCCTGAGTAGCTGGGATTACAGGTACGTGCCACCATGCCCAGCTAATTTTTTGTATTTTTAGTAGAGACGGGGTTTCACCATGTTGACCAGGATGGTCTCGATCTCTTGACCTTGTGATCTACCCGCCTCGGCCTCCCAAAGTGCTGGGATTACAGGCTTGAGCCACCGCGCCTGGCTATTTTACTTATTTTTTTAAGAGCCATGGTCTCACTTTATCACCCAGGCTGTAGTAGTGGTGTGATCATAGCTCACTGCAGCCTCAAACTCCTGGACTCAAGTGATCCTCCAGCCTCTGCCTCCCAAGTAACTGGAATTACCAGTTCCACCACATCCTGGCACTGACATTTTAAATATAATGCTATAAGCATGATCCATAAAACAAAGAATAAGCTGAACTTAATTAACATTTAAAATTTCTGGGCCAGGTGCGATGGCTCATGCCTGTAATCCCAGCACTTTAGGAAGTCAAGGCAGATGGATGACCTGAGGTCAGGAGTTCAAGACCAGACTGACCAACAGGAGAAACCCCCTATCTACTAAAAGTAGAAAATTAGCAGGGCATTGTGGCACATGTCTATAATCCCAGCTACTAGAGAGTCTGAGGCAGGAGAAGAATCTCTTGAACCCGGGAGGTGGAGGTTGCAGTAAGCTGAGATCATGCCATTGCACTCTAGCCTGGGCAACAAGAGCAAAACTCCATCTCAAAAAATATATACATATATCTCCCCTGTGAAAGACAATGTCAAGAGAATGGAAATATAAGCCACAGACTGGGAGAAAATATTTGCAAAATATATATCTGAGAAGGAACTGTTATCAAAAATATACAAAGACTGTAGCATATATCATACAGAAAAAAAACATTCAAAGAACTCTTTTTTTTTTTTTTTTTTTTTTTGAGACGGAGTTTCGCTCTTGTTACCCAGGCTGGGGTGCAATGGCGCGATCTCGGCTCACCGCAACCTCCGCCTCCTGGGTTCAGGCAATTCTCCTGCCTCAGCCTCCTGAGTAGCTGGGATTACAGGCACGCGCCACCATGCCCAGCTAATTTTTTGTATTTTTAGTTGAGGCGGGGTTTCACTATGTTGACCAGGATGGTCTCGATCTCTTGACCTCGTGATCCACCTGCCTTGGCCTCCCAAAGTGCTGGGATTACAGGCGTGAGCCACCGCGCCCAGCTTCAAAGAACTCTTAAAACTCAACAGTGTAGCCGGGCGCGGTGGCTCAAGCCTGTAATCCCAGCACTTTGGGAGGCCGAGGCGGGTGGATCACGAGGTCAAGAGATCGAGACCATCCTGGTCAACATGGTGAAACCCCGTCTCTACTAAAAATACAAAATATTAGCTGGGCATGGTGGCATGTGCCTGTAATCCCAGCTCAGGAGGCTGAGGCAGGAGAATTGCCTGAACCCAGGAGGCGGAGGTTGCGGTGAGCTGAGATCGCGCCATTGCACTCCAGCCTGGGTAACAAGAGCGAAACTCCGTCTCAAAAAAAAAAAAAAAAAAAAACAAAAACAAAAACAAAAAAAAAAACTCAACAGTGTTAAAAAAAAAAAAAGGACAAAAAATGAGCCAAAGACCTTTACAGATACCTGATACCTCACCAGATGGCAAATAAGCATATGAAAAGATGCTCAATATCATAAGTCATCAGGGAAATGCAAATTGAAACAAGGCACCACTACACACGTATTAGAATGGCCAAAATCCTGAACATTCACAACAAATGCTGGTGAGGATGAGGAGCAACAGAAACTCTCATTCATTGCCGGTTGGAATGCAAGATGGTACAGCCACTTTGGAAGACAGTTTTGTACTTTCTTATAAAATTAAACGCCCTCTTACCATAAAATCCACCAACTGGATTGCACTCCTTTTACCCAAAGGAGTTGAAAACTTACGTCCACATAAAAACCTGCACACCAATGTTCATAGTAGCTTTATTTATAACTGCCAAAACGTGTAAGCAACCAAGAAGGCCTCCAGTAGGTAAATGGATAAACTGTAGTACATCTAGACAATAGAATATTAGTCAGCACTACCAAGAAATGAGCTTTCAAGCCATAAGAAGACATGGAAGAATCTTAAATGTATATTGCTATGTAAAAGAAACCAATCTGAAAAGGCTATGTACTGCACGATTCCAACTATATGACACTTTGCAAAAGGCAACAACATTAGGAGACTGTAAAAAGATCAGTGGTTGCCAAGATTTTAGAGAAAGGGAAGGAGGGATGAATTGATAGAGCACAGAGGATTTTTACAGCAGTGAAACTATTCTGTGTGATATTATAATAGTGGATACATGTCATTATATATTCTTCCAAACCCATAGAATGTACAATATCAAGAGTGAACCCTAACATAAATTATGGACTCTGGGCAAGGATGATGTATGTGTCAATGTAGCTTCATGAGTTATAACATATTTACCACTCTGGTGGGGGATGTTGTTATAAGAAAAGGCTATGCATGTAGAGAGCCAGGGGCTATATGGGAAATCTCTGTATCTTCCACTCAATTCAGCTGTGAACCTAAAACTGCTCTAAAAATAAAAATAAAGCCTACTTTAAAAAAAAAAAAAAGTCCACCCAGAACCTCAGAATGTTACCTTATTTAGAAATAGGGTCTTTACAGATATAATCAAGTTAACACAAGGTTATACTAGATTAAGGTGGGCCCTAAATCCAATGGCTGGTATCCTTATAAGGAGAAAGAGACTTAGAAAGACACACAGGAAAAAGATGAAGGCAGACATTGGAATGATTCATCTGTAAGTCAAGGAATGCCAATAATTGCCAGCAATCCCCAGAAGCCACGAAGAGAAAAGGTAGTCTTTCCCCCAGAGCCTCCAGATAAAACATAGCCCTGCTGATCCCTTGATTTCAGATACCCAGCCTCCAGAAACACTGCGAAGGAAAAAATATCTGTTGTTTTTAGCCACCAGTGTGTGATGCTCTGTTACAGAAGGTCTAGGAAACTAACACAGTCTGCTTCCACAGAACTATCCCCAAATCACTCAACTGAAGCACAAATCCTATAACAGATTATTTCTAACACATGTATTCTCCCTTGCTGCACTGCAAAATAAACCCAGCTTATTTAATTATAGGTGTGTTCCTGGTAGTCACTGGGTAAAGGGCATAGACAGCAGTAAAATCCTCAAAATGTCAAAACTACAAACCTTCCTGTGTCCCATAGTGATTGCTGAGGTTTATGCCCATACTTTCAATACTTAATAAGCCTCAAGACTTTCAACCACACAAAAAAAGAAAGCATCAGCTCAATATACAGATGTTTCTTTTCTTTTTTTTTTTTTGACAGAATTTCACTCTTGTTGCGCAGGCTGGCGTGCAATGGCACAATCTTGGCTGACTGCAACCTCCACCTCCTAGGTTCAAGCAATTCTCCTGCCTCAGCCTCCCGAGTAGCTGGGATTACAGGCATACACCACCACGCTCAGCTAATTTTGTACTTTTAGTAGAGATGGGGTTTCTCCTTGTTGGTGAGGCTGGTCTGGAACTCCCGACCTCAGATGATCCGCCTGCCTCAGCCTCCCAAAGTGCCGGGATTACAGACGTGAGCCACCACACCCAGCCCAAATGTTTATTTTCATAGCGAAGCCACTAGACTGTAAATTCATTGGGGTCAGTGACTATACCTGTCTTATTTACCAATGTCTTCCCATTCCTCAGCCCAAATCCTAGAATAAAGTCAATCTGGTGAGAGAAAATCTCTCTCTTTTTTTTTTTTTTTAAAGACGGGCTCTTGCTCTGTCGCCGAAGCTAGAGTACAGTGGCGCAATCTCAGCTCACTGCAACCTCCGCCTCCCTGGTTCAAGTGATTCTCCTGCATCAGCCTCCCAAGCAGCTGGGACTACAGGTGTGCACCACCATGCACAGCTAATTTTTGTATTTTTAGTAAAGACAGGGTTTCACCATATTGCCCAGGCTGGTCTTGAACTTCTGACTTCGTGATCCACCCACCTCAGACTCCCAAAGTGCTGGGATTACAGGTGTGAGCCACCAGGGACACCCAGCCTAAAATCACTTTCTAAACAACTGCATGAAAAAATCTTGCCATTCTTACCTAGTGAGGCCAAGTTCTGGAAGTTTTCCAGCATCACATCTCTGTAGAGGTTCCTCTGAGCAAGATCCAGCAAAGCCCACTCCTCCTGGGTAAAGTCCACAGCCACATCCTCAAAGACTACGGAGTCCTAAAATATACCATAAATTCTGTTCAGAAAGGTATAATTCCTCCAATGTGTACAAGAGGACGGATGAGGCTGACAATATTGAGGAAATGAGAGCCAATTCATAGGAAATTCAGGACATCCCAGCATCTACTCTAGGACTCAGTCAACAAATCTCTCTTTCTATCTACACATAATTCATCACTGATCAAATCCTGACTTTTTTTTTTTTTTTTTTTGAGATGGAGTTTCGCTCTTGTTACCCAGGCTGGAGTGTAATGGCGCGATCTTGGCTCACCGCAACCTCCGCCTCCTGGGTTCAGGCAATTCTCCTGTGTCAGCCTCCTGAGTAGTATTTTTAGTAGAGACGGGGTTTCACCTTGTTGACCAGGATGGTCTCGATCTCTTGACCTCGTGATCCACCCGCCTCGGCCTCCCAAAGTGCTGCGATTACAGGCTTGAGCCACCGTGCCTGGCCTCAAATCCTGACTTTAACACTTCTAAAACACTAAATTGCCAGGCAAATTGGGTCACACTTGTAATCCCAGCACTTTTGGAGACTGAAGCAGGAGGACTACCTGAGCCCAGGAGTTCGAGACCAGCCTAGGCAACGTAACATAGTGAGACTCAGTCTCCGCCAAAATTTAAAAGTACATATGGCCAGGTGTGGTAGTGCATGCCTGTGGTGGCTTATGTGGGAGGATCGTTGAGCCGCAAGGTTGAGGCTACAGTGAGCATGACCATGCCACTGTACTCTAGCCTGAACAATGACAACAAAAAAAACACTAAATTTATCTTCCTACAAATTGATGGCAATGAGATAGAGAAAAAAAGTGTTTTTCCTACCCTCTTACATAGTCACTCAGTACCGTACAGAACATTTCTGACACTAGATGTGTGGGGAATATTTTCCATACCCACCAAACAATTCCCCCGTGGACACCTGCTGGGTATCCTATAATTCACTTCTCATATGATCTACCTGGAGATCCCACAGGTTGAGGGCTTGGTCCCACTTAACTGCCTCCCACTTCAGATGCCAATCCCAAGTTAAAAGGTTGTCAACTATACTTCTGACTGGCTAAAATCAGGGCTCCTACTACCTTCTCCTTGAGTTGAATTAATTTGCTGGAACAATTCACAGAACTCATGGAAATATGTTTACTGGTTTGTCAGCGAGGATATTACAAAGTATACAGATAAAACAGCCAGAAGAGATGGGCAGGCCAACGTAGTGGGAAGGGGTGCAGAAATTCCATGCCTTCTCCTGGCATGCCACCCTCCAGGAACCACCACACATTCAGCTATCCACAAGTTCCTCAAGCCAGTCCTTTGGGTTTTTAAGGAGGCTCCATCACATGGTTGATGTAAGTCCCAATCCTCTGACCTTGCCTGGGTCTTTCTGAACCAGCCCCCATCTTAAGGCTCTCCAGGGGCTTCCAGACACCAACCATCTCATTAGTACACAGAAGACCCTCTTATTGCTCCAGAGATTACAAGGGTTTTTAGGAACTCTGTGCCAGGAAACAGGATGAAAGCCAAACACATATTTCACAATATCACAGAGAGTGACCAATGCCAGTCTTATAACGACCTAGAAAAGTCCAGAGCATATTGAAGAAGAGAAATGCTCTGAAAATGAAATAATTTCCACATTGACATCATCAATTCCTTATTACAGAAATAACTTCACCTGTTACTTTATTCCCACCATAGCAATCACTGCAACATTAAACACAGGTCAAATGTAGATGGGATTTTAATGAATAAAAATACACTGAGAGAATAGAAGCTTTTCACTTTTTCCCCCCTCTCACAAACCTGAGAGGCCCAGGAGCTGCACAAGCACAACTTTCAAGCCAGACCCACAGCTGGTTATACTTCCTTGTCTTCTAGACCAGGGGTCAGCAAACTATGGCATATGGCTATATCCAAGCTGCCACTTGAATGCATAAAGTTTTATTGGAACACAATAAAACATTTGTTTATGTATTGTCTATGGCTGCTTTTGCACTAAAATGGCAGAGCTGAATTGTAATAGAAACACTACAGCCTTCAGCGCCTAAAATACTATGTGGTCCGATACAGAAACAGATTGCTGCTGACCTGTGCTCTAAAACATAGAAGGAGACCTGGAGCAATGAAAAATATTTTTTTGACAATTATTATCTTTTACTTACCTGTATCTTATTTTTCTGTAACTCAGCAGTTGTTCCTTCTTCCTCCATGTCCCCTGCATGAAGAAAAGCAGGATATTGAGAAGTTAGAAGTAAAGATGACATGAGACTCCAGACCGCCCCAAAATTCCCACACTCATGAACCTGGATGTTGCACCCCATCAATTATAAGTAACAACTCCCCTCAAAGCGTACACACACACACACACACACACACACACACAAGACCAAGACACTCAAGCAAATATATACTGCTCTTGTGGGAAAATAGAACAGCCTTATGTCCCCCTAGAGATAGAAAACAGTGTTCTGGTCTGTGGTGATCATAAAGAAGAGCTTTAAGAGTGCTATTCTGTAAATTAACTGAAGTCTAGAAAAGTCTGACTGTCAATTTGCCCATGATAACAAAAAGTATAAAATGTATTAGGGAGCATCTGCAATGACATGAATATACACTCTCTGTCTGAAATTCAAGAAATCACTGATTTACAGGCCAGACTTCTGGGAGCTCCACTCCCAGTATTTCTTACTTCTGCACCCCTTGGCTGGCTAACTGGTATTACTGCTTAGCCCTAGACTACTACCCCTGCCCCCATGAGCTGCAGGGTTCCCCAAAACCTTAGTTTCTGAGAGAGAACATCAGCCTGTTGAATTCCATATGCAGGAGGCAGAGAAGGCCACTATGCTGTGATGGACATGCTAAATTTGCCTGCCCGGTACGGTAGTATCAGAATAAGAATACTTGGCCTGTATCACCCCTGATGTGGGATCTGCAGTGTTGTTTCACAAGTTTCAGACAAGAATATGTTAACAGTTACTTCCACTGCAATGGAACAAGTAGCATCTTTAAAAGCCAATAAAAGGCCAGGCGTGATGGCTCACACCTATAATCCCAGCGCTTTGGGAGGCCAAGGAGGGTGAATCACCTGAGGTCAGGAGTTTGAGACCAGCCTGGCCAACATGGAGAAACCCCATCTCTATTTAAAAAAAAAAGAAAAAAAAAGCCAATAAAAAATTGTAACATTCTTCACTGTATTAGTAGCAATATATGCCATATAGGCAACCCTGATGTAAGAATAACTTTGCAAAGAAATGGCCACATTTTAGAATCTTTCTCACAGAAACTCTGCAAATCAAATATTATTACAACCAGTTTAGAGTTGAGTAATCTTAGAAAGAGTCAATTAACCACATGTTTAACATTACCTAGTTAGACAGCTGCTGAGGCAGGGTATGAATGCAGGCCTATTTGTCTTCAAAACACTCAATGAGCCGGATGCAGTGGCTCACTTTGGGAGGCTGAGGCGGGTGGATCACCTGAAGTCAGGAGTTTGAGACCAGCCTAATCAATATGGTGAAACCGAGTCTTACAAAAACAAAAAACAAAAAACAAAAAAACACCCAATGGCCGGGCGCGGTGGCTCAAGCCTGTAATCCCAGCACTTTGGGAGGCCGAGGCGGGTGGATCACAAGGTCAAGAGATCGAGACCAGCCTGGTCAACATGGTGAAACCCCGTCTCTACTAAAAATACAAAAAATTTAGCTGGGCATGGTGGCGCGTGCCTGTAATCCCAGCTACTCAGGAGGCTGAGGCAGGAGAATTGCCTGAACCCAGGAGGCGGAGGTTGCGGTAAGCCGAGATCGCGCCATTGCACTCCAGCCTGGGTAACAAGAGTGAAACTCCGTCTCAAAAAAAAAAAAAAAAACACCCAATGAGTACATTTCTGAACACATACCTTAAATTTTAATTGTTAGTAAGCCCCTTATTCCTAGTATTACCAGGATTTAGCCTAGAACCCTATTGGGCACCCCAGAAAGTGGACAAATGAAGCATTCTAATCAAATATGCTGGCTGGGTATGGTAGCTCACGCCTGTAATCCCAGTACTTTGGGAGGCCAAGGCAGGGGGATCACATGAGGTCAGGAGTTTGAGACTGGTCTGGCCAACATGGCGAAACCCCTTCTCTACTAAAAATACAAAAATTAGCCAGGCATGCTGGTGCACAGCTGTAGTCCCAGCTACTCAGGGGGCTGAGGCAGGAGAATTGCACGAACCCAGGAGGCAGAGGTTGCAGTGAGCTGAGATCGTGCCGCTGCACTCCAGCCTGGGCAACAGAGCCAGACTCTGTCAATAAATAAATAATAAAATGCGCTATCTTTGAGCTCCTTCTCCTGATTAAGGCCTATGTCTTGGGCAATGATTCTCCCCTTATGGTCCTTACCTCTTTCATTTTATATTTATTTAGGTAATATTTACCCTGACCCTACTATATGAAGTCACAAGGAACAAGGCATAGACAGAAAATGAAAAAAAAAAAAAAAGAAAGAAAAATCCTGAAGCAAATGAATACATAGAGATACATGCTATATAAAAAATGTAGTACATTATAGGAATAAGGAGACACATAACATATTTATCTTTAGCAAATCAGGACTGGTAATGTGGCAAGGTAGAAACAAAAAATTAAAATAACTGTTTCAGATAATGCTGGAAATTCAGAGGGTTTAGTATATCTATTACATATTTGTAAGCATTAGCAACTCCCAGAGGGAAAAAAAATCAGTATTAATAGGTTAGACTATTGATATATGAGGTTGAATAAAGACCAGCATAAAAGTTTAGAAAGAAAATAGAACAAGATAATATTTTTTAAAACATGGTAAACAGAATTGGAAAAGCTAAAAAGGCATCTTTTGCGAAAAGAAAAGCTAATGAAACTGACAAAGTCAGCTTTTATTTTATTATTTATTTATTTTTTATTTTTTATTTTTTTTGGACGGAGTTTCGCTCTTTTTACCCAGGCTGGAGTGCAATGGCGCGATCTCGGCTCACCGCAACCTCCGTCCCCTGGGTTCAAGCAATTCTCCTGCCTCAGCTTCCCGAGTAGCTAGGACTACAGGCGTGCGCCACCATGCCCAGCTATTTTTTTTTTTTTTTTTTTTAGTAGAGATGGGGTTTCACCATGTTGACCAGTATGGTCTCGATCTCTTGAACTCGTGATCCATCCGTCTCGGCCTCCCAAAGTGCTGGGATTATAAGCGTGAGCCACCGCGCCCGGCCTATTTTTTATTTATTATTTGAGATAGACTCTCCTTATGTTACCCAAGTTGATCTCATTTCCTAAGCTCAAGCTTAGCCTCCCACCAGCTGGGACTACAGATGTGCACCAGTGCAGCCAGCAACAAACTCAGCAATTTTTTTTTTCTTTTTTTCTTTTTTAAGGCTAGTCAAGTGAAGCAGTGGCAGTGGAGAAGGAACAAAGAAATCTGTAACTGGTTGTGATCAATTAGTCGTAAACACCACTGCACTCAGACCAGCCAAACTCAGCAATTTTAAGAGCAACATGGCAGACCAAAAAAAAGCACAATAATAAATCATAATTGTAGATACCTAGAAAAAATTTAAGGAATAAATATGAAAATGCACAGGTAATGAATGAATTTCTAGAAAGTAGTACAACTTTCCAGCAATGATCTAAAACCTGATTACATCCAGTAATCAATGAAAAAAAAAAATCAGCGGTTTAAAATATGGTCAGGACAGGTATAGTGGCTCATGCCTTTAATTCCAGCACTTCGGCAGGCAGACAGCCCATGACTTCGAGACCTGCCCAGGCAACACAGCGAGACTCCTTTTAACTAAAAAGAAATAGAAATAAAGAAAGGGGGAAAAAAACCCTACAAACACCTACAGCAAACATCCTATGTAATGGCGAAATGATAGAAAAATTCCCTCTGGAATCAGAAACAAGACAAGGATGTAAATTATATGCTATTCTGTCGGACATTGTACTGGAGGTCCTGGCAAGTGCAGTAAGGAAATGAAAACAAATGGAAACTGCAAGGAATAAAAAGGGAAAATACTGAAACCGACAGATGATCAAATTTTGTCACATGTAACCAATCTGTAGATAAATGATTCAAATGTATCATTAATGACAAAATGTATCAGTTCACTTTTACTTGAATATAATGTGTCAAACTGATGTCCACAGGCAGAGTATAAAATCCAGAGCCCAAATACTATCTTTTTTTTTTTTTTTTGGAGACAGTGTCTCGCTCTGTTGCCCAGGCTGGAGTGCAGTGATAGGATCTCAGCTCACTGCAACCTCTGCCTCTGGAGTAGCTGGGAGCACAGGAGCACACCATCACACCCGGCTGTTATTTTATTTTATTTTTTGTATAGAGGGGATCTTGCTATGTTGCCCAGGCTGGTCTCAAACTCCTGGGCTCAAGCGATCTGCCCGCCCAAAGTGCTGGGATTACAGGCGTGAACCACCGCACCTGGCCCAAGCACTATCTAATGCATAAAGAGGGGACAGGAGGGGACCGAGCCGAGGCAAATGTCACCCCGCGCTCACCCGACATGCCGCGATCCACAGATCTGCTCACAGAGAACGAGGTTGAGTCGCTTGTCCTTGAGACCCGAATGGGTAGAGATGCTCGTCCTTTCTGGAAAGAGAGCAAAAGATGCTTTCAGAGGCTGATGAACTATGACACTGGGTCTCCAACTCTCGCCTGCATCAGAATCACCCCGATTTCGGGACTCAGACCAGAATTCCCGATTCGGTGAGTTTGCGACGAGCCACCGCCGCAGGGGCAGCAGACCCAGGCACTCCGAGAAAGCACAGCGGCAGCGGGAGGCCCCAGGCGCGGGGTCCGGGCAGGGAGCGGCTGAGAGGCCGCCCTTAGACCGCCGATCCTCAGGCGGAGCCCTACGTCTCCTGCGGAACCGACCCGCGGCAGGCGGGGTGGGTCAGGGCAGAGCAGGAAGCGGATGGGCGCAAAAATTTACCTCGGACGCGGCAGAGGCGTTGATTGACATGGCTGCCGGCTCGCGCATGCGCAAACGAGCACTTCGGTTCCCAGTTCGGCACAACTGACGCCCTATGGGGCGGGGCCTGAGAGGCGGGACTTGAGGTGAAGGAGGTGGGGCAGGAAGGAGCGGTGACGGCTGAGGAGCGTGAAGACTGGTTCTAGCCACAAGCGGATGAGAAATCCTAGTTTCTTTATTATTGAGAGTAAACAGAAGAAACAGAACCTTGGATTGGGTTTGGTCGACTCTGTGGGCGAGACGAGGCTGGGTCTAGACCCGACCTAGGGGCGTGGCTTTCTAAATACTCCAAGGGGCGTGGCTAAAGGTGGAACCAGATTGGGGGCGGGACTTGGTTGAAATTCCTAGGGAGCGGGGACGAGGGCTAGGGGCGCGGCTCAAGTAACTAGGCCTGGGGGTGGGGCTAAGTTTAGGGCTTCCCAACCAGGTCCTCAGCTACCACGGATACAGGATGCTCATCAATTGGGTTTATACCTATCCTCCATGTTGCTACAGCCCTGTACACAGGACACATATATTTTCAACTCTAATATGAAACAGACTCTCCTTTCCATTCACTCAGTCCTTTTGGTCCTTTAAGTTTTCCCTTTCACTGTTTTATTGATAACGTCTCCTGTAGAGGGAAGCCACTGGTAATTATTTATATCGAACCTTTTACCTGGAAACTTGCTGAATTCTAATAGCTGTCAGTTTATTATTTGGAACATCAAATATAAATATTTTTATGCATGTTTTCATTGTTTTAATATGTATAACTCATTTATTTTTTCTTTTTATGAGGCAATATCTCACTCTATCGGCCAGTGCAGTGATGCGATCATGGTTCATTGCAGCCTTGACTTCCCCAGCCCAAGTGATTATCGCATCTCGGCCTCCCAAGCAGCTGGGACGATAGACGCGTGTGACCACACCCTGCTAATTTTTGTATTTTTACAGCCCAGACATCAAAGCTAGAAATGAAACATACGGTCAATCGGAGCCTTGCATAAGCTGTTCCCTACCCTGGAGCAAACCAAAATAATAGAGACAGCCTTACACCCCTAGTGCCAGGACCTGTCTCAGAGCCGACAAAATCTGAGACGAGTTTATAGATTCCTTGTTTGTAGATTTGTTGGAGAGTCTAAGGCAGCTCTCTGGACCTGTTGCAGAACATTCAGGAGACTGGAGAGACCAATGGGTGAAACAGGAGGATTTTATTAAGGTGGCCACCAGGTCAGCGGATTAACATCCCAAGGCTGAGCCCTAACAAAGACATGGATTGGCTTTTTATACATGAAGTACACAGTGGCGCTAAAACAAGTTTGCCAGTGTAGAACAAAGACAATTCGTTAAGCAATGATAGGCACCTAACTTAGGCTTACAAATGACTGTTGCTATGTGACCCAGATGTTCTGCAGAGCTGAAGGATTCTAGCATGGGCCTTAGCTATTGCCTTCTGCTACAGTGCCCAGAAAGCCAGAGTCCTGCCTGCTTGGGCATTTCTTATGACATTCGCTGTGTTACAGCAACTTACAGTTATCAGATATAGAGAACATGAATACAAGAATTTATAAACTTATAAAACTTACAAAGCAGAATACAATCCCACAGGAGAGGAAAGAACTCAGGGAAGTTTGCTTATAGAAAAGAAGAAAAATTGCCGGGCGCGGTGGCTCAAGCCTGTAATCCCAGCACTTTGGGAGGCCGAGGCGGGCAGATCACAAGGTCAAGAGATCGAGACCACCCTGGTCAACATGGTGAAACCCCACCTCAACTAAAAATACAAAAAATTAGCTGGTCATGGTGGCGCATGCCTGTAATCCCAGCTACTCAGGAGGCTGAGGCAGGAGAATTGCTTGAACCCAGGAGGAGGACGTTGCGGTGAGCCGAGATCGTGCCATTGCACTCCAGCCTGGGTAACAAGAGCAAAACTCCGTCTCAAAAAAAAAAAAAAAAAAAAAAAGAAAAGAAAAGAAGAAAAATTTAGGCCAGACGCGGTGGCTCACACCCGTAAGTAATCCCAGCACTTTGGGAGGCCGAGGCAGGCAGATTACCTGAGGTTGGGAGTTTGAGACCAGCCTGACTAACATGGTGAAACCCCATTTCTACTAAAAAAAAAATACAAAATTAGCAGGCATTGTGGTGCATGACTGTAATCCCAGCTACTTGGGAGGCTGGGGCAGGAGAATCACTTGAACTGGGTAGGCGGAGGTTGCAGTGAGCCGAGATCACACAATTGCACTCCAGCCTGGGTAACAAGAGTGAAACTCCATCTTAAAAAAAAAGAAAAGAAGAAAAATTTAATTTCTTCTCCCCTCTCCCACATTAACCAAGCTGTAAAAAAGATAAGAAATAATCACTCCAGTACCACAGTAGACAAGCCTTGAAGGCTTTGGGGCCCATTTAATTAGATTTAGCAAGAATTTTTTTTTTTTAAATCTCTGACCTTCTAGTTGAAACAAAATTAGTTACCAATAGACTTAGGTGAATGCTATGCTACACCTAGGCACATAACCCCAACCTACATAAGGACTAAGAGAATTATAACACTTTGAGTTGGTCTGGTGGAATCATCTCCAGCCTTCTCCTTGTATCCAGTTACAGCAGTAACTTTCTTTCTTCCCTAGTTTGTCTGCTTCTCATTATTGGGCCTTAAGAAAATGCAGCTGGACCCAGCTTGGTTCTGGGAACACATTGGGGCTGTTTTCTCTTTCTTATTTTTTTTTTTGAGATGGAGTTTCGCTCTTGTTACCCAGGCTGGGGTGCAATGGCACGATCTCGGCTCACCACAACCTCCGCCTCCTGGGTTCAGGCAAATTCTCCTGCCTCAGCCTCCTGAGTAGCTGGGATTACAGGCACGCGCCACCATGCCCAGCTAATTTTTTGTATTTTTAGTAGAGACGGGGTTTCACCATGTTGACCAGGATGGTCTCGATCTCTTGACCTCGTGATCCACCTGCCTTGGCCTCCCAAAGTGCTGGGATTACAGGCTTGAGCCACCGCGCCTGGCCATGTTTTCTCTTTCTTTTGGTCTCTTAAAATGAAAAATATTGCTTACTGTGTATCAGGTAGTGTTTTTTTTTTTTTTTTTTTTTTCGAGACGGAGTTTCGCTCTGTTACCAGTCTGGAGTGCAATCGGCGCGATCTCGGCTCACCGCAACTCCGCTCCTGGGTTCCCGGCCAAATTCTCCTGCCTCAGCCTCCTGAGTATGGGGCTACAGGCAGTGCCCACCATGCCAGCTAAATTTTTTGTATGTTTGTTAAGACGGGGTTGTCACATGTTGACCAGAATGGTCTCGATCTCTCGACCTCGTGATCCACCCGCCTCGGCCTCCCAAAGTGCTGGGATTACAGGCTTGAGCCACTGCGCCCGGCTTCAGGTAGTGTTTTAAACTCAACAAACTCAGTTACCTTTTTTTTTTTTTTTTCAGAGGGAGTTTCGCTCTTGTTGCCCAGGCTGCAGTGCAATGGTATGATGTCAGTTCACTGCAACCTCCACTTCCTGGATTCAAGCGATTCTCCTGTCTCCGCCTCCCGAGTAGCTGGGACTATAGGCGTGTGCCACCACGCCCATCTAATTTTTGTATTTTTGGTAGAGACAGGGTTTCTCCATGTTGGGCAGGCTGGTCTTGAACTCCTGACCTCAGGTGATCCACCTGCCTCGGCCTCCCAAAGTCCTGGGATTATAGGTGTAAGCCACCACACTTGGCCCTACTTTTTTTTTTTTTTTTTTTTTTGAGATAGGGCCTCACTTTGTTACCCAGGTTGGAGTGCAGTGGCTCAACCATGACTGACTGCAACCTCCACCTCCTGGACTCAAGTGATCCTCCTGTCTCAGCCTCCTGAGTAGTTGGGACTGCAAGCCCTCACCACCACACCCAGATAATTTTTGTGTTTTTCGTAGAGACAGTTTTCACCATGTTGCTCAGGCTGGTCTCAAACTCCTAGGTTCAAGTGATCCACCTGCCACAGCCTCCCAAAGTGCTGGGATTACAGGCATGAGCCAACATGCCAGGCCATAAACGCATATACCATTAATTCAGTTCATTCTCATTTATTTCTATAAGGCAATATTGTCTCAATTTATAAGGAAATTGAGGCATAGAAATCATAAAACTAGTATCAAAGAAAACCAGACCTGAACAGTAGTTAAAGGAGTAAAAACAATTTTACTCAGGACAATTGCAATAGGGGAAAACAAACCTTTGTATAAAACTGGGCTCTGGCTAGGCGCTGCGGCTCAAGCCTATAATCTCAGCACTTTCGGAGGCCAAGGTGAATGAATTGCTTTAGTCGAGCAGTTCAAGACCAGCCTGGTCAACGTGGTGAAACCCTGTCTCTATTAAAAATATAAAAATTAGCCAGGTTTGGTGGCAGGCACCTGTAATCCCAGCTACCTGGGAGACTGAGGTAGGAGAATCACTTGAATCCAGGAGGCGGAGGTTGCAGTGAGCCAAGATTGCACCACTGAACCCCAGCCTGGGTGACAGAAAGGAGATTCTGTCTCAAAATAAAAAAAAAAAGAAAACTGGGCTCTATTCCCAAAAGATGGGCCGGTGGGAATTCATAGACAAGGAGCAGGGTGGGCCAATGGATGGAAAATTATTAAGAGAAAAGAAACATTCGGCCGGGCGCGGTGGCTCAAGCCTGTAATCCCAGTACTTTCGGAGGCCGAGGCGGGTGGATCACGAGGTCAAGAGATCGAGACCATCCTGGTCAACATGGTGAAACCCCGTCTCTACTAAAAATACAAAAAATTAGCTGGGCATGGTGGCGTGTGCCTGTAATCCCAGCTACTCAGGAGGCTGAGGCAGGAGAATTGCCTGAGCCCAGGAGGCGGAGGTTGCAGTGAGCTGAGATCGCGCCATTGCACTCCAGCCTGGGTAACAAGAGTGAAACTCCGTCTCAAAAAAAAAAAAAAAAAAGAAAAAAAGAAACATTCAGTGTAAAGGGGATTTTTGCTAAACCCACGACAAGTTTCTTGCTAAAAATAGGTCAGAGCGATCAGACATTACCTAGAGG